AGACAGAATGACAGAGTGACCCAGAGCGTGGAGGGAATCGCAGGGAGGTGACCGTGTATGGAGGACCGTCATGTGACTCCATGAGACCAGGCCGACCCGCCAGCATAGAGCAGAAGGCTCACCCCCATGAGGCCGTGCCACCTGGCTGCTCGCCAGACCCGGCAGCTGCGGGCGTCCTCCATTTCTATGTCAACGCATGTCATGTGACCTCTGGGCATCCAGCCTGACTGGCCGCTGCCAGGCCGATGTTAAGGGACTAACAGGGACATGCAGGGACATTAAGGAATATTAAGGGACTAACAGGGACATGATGGGACATTAAGGGATGTTAAGGGACTAACAGGGACATGCAGGGACATTAAGGAATGTTAAGGGACTAACAGGGACATTAAGGGATGTTAAGGGACTAACAGGGACATGCTGGGACATTAAGGGACAGGCAGGGGCACAGACAGCCACAGTGAATTCTGTGGCTCATGCTGGATGGTCCCCGGCCCAGACGCAGTGCACAGTGACGCTCATCAGCAGCTGTCCACAAGTCTCAGCTGAGGTGTCAGTCCAACATTTTAAATCAGAGACCCTGTCCTCACACACACACCATACTGGGATTTCAGAAGGATGCTCCCCTTCCCCCCCCCACTCACCGTTTGACTTCTCACTGTCCGCCGGCTTCATCTGGATGGGATGATGCATCTGCAAAACAGAACGGGGACACGATTCAGCACGACTGCACAGACCTGACCCCGGCGAGCCGGCGAGGAGCGAACGGCGCCGTTTTGTGGAGACACGCTTCAGACAAACAGCTTGGTGGTCAGAGGCAGGAGAAGGTCGAGCCGCGGGGGGAGGGAGCGGAGGAGCCGGCTGATTTATGGGAGAGCAGAGACACCTGACAGCGGGGTCTGTGCCGGGTCGGCCGCCTGTCTGACACAGGCCCGCTCGCCTGTGGAGTGCACAACAGCCCTGCTGCCTACCCATAATGCCTCAGCAGGATGAGCACCAATACCAGGGAGACTTGGTTTCTCCAATGGGATTGAACCTAGTAACCTGCTCCGTCACCCGTTTGCTTGGAAGGCTGGTGGACAGTAATTCTCTCAGGTGACAGTGACAACGATGTTCGGGGAAAAAAAAAAAAGCCCACATGCCCATCCCTGTTTCCAGTTAATCACCAAACGGCAGCCAGGACTCCAGTACGGATGCTGGTTGATCTACCTGATTTCTCCATTGGTCAGCGTCCTGGGCAGAGGTGGAAAGTTCAGGTCCAGAAAGTACAAATCCAGACCATGGTTTCGTTTCAACCAGCCAGTACAGTTTGTGAGTTTGACTCTTTATACTCAACTGGTAGGTTGAAAGAAAACCACGATCTAGATGTGTGCTTCTGGACCTGAAACTGCCACCTCGGGTCCTGGGCACAGCTACCTTTGTGAGATGGCATTCACTGATTAGGTAAGACGCCACCCCTGCCTGGTTGAGGATGGGCCAATTGGTGACAATTCACTCAAATCGCCATTATTTAAGCCGCCACTAGAGGTCACCTTAGTTCTTGTGACCTTAACATGTAATTCTTCACACACTCCATGCCTGGGAGGGAATAAGGTTTCCGAACATGACGGATCCGGCTCAGCTGTACTGCGGGAATGTCCGGAGCCTGCTTGCCGAGCTTCCCATCGAAAGAAGCCCTTGGCCGTTAACTGGCATCGTCACACAACGCACAGTGGATCGTTAGCGATGAATTGTGGATAATTACAGGCACTCAGCAATAATAGAACATTTTATCATGTAAACGGCCTCTAAAGAAATTACATTGGTAAGCCGACCATCTCAAGTAGGAAGCCTAATTTAGGCATGTCCTCGGTGGCGGGAGGGGGGGGCGGGGGGCACTGTAGCCATCACTGGCCTGTATGTAGCGCATTCCTGTCTGTGCCGCTCGTTGCCATGAGTTTATCGATGAGCAACACCCCCCCCCCCGAACTGCACACACGCCTCATCGCTACTCCAGTCTTGGCATTTCACAGCCCCGGGGGCCGGGTAGATATCAGATAGCCTCCCCCTGGGAGGCAGGCCAGGCTGTTATCGCCGCTCCGAGGGATTCACGCGCCATGCCTGCAATTACTGCCCTAATTCAATTGATTCCTGTAATGAGCTTCTGTAATGACACTGCTGACGGGTGCTGGGCCTGCAGGTGCTGTTTACGGTGGGCGTCTGAGAAAAAGCAGAGTGTCTGTGAGCCTGTATGTGTGTCTGTGAGCCTGTATGTGTGTGTGTGTGTCTGTGAGCCTGTATGTGTGTCTGTGAGCCTGTATGTGTGTCTGTGAGCCTGTATGTGTGTGTGTGAGCCTGTATGTGTGTGTGTGAGCCTGTATGTGTGTCTGTGAGCCTGTATGTGTGTGTGTGTCTGTGAGCCTATATGAGTGTCTGTGAGCCTGTATGTGTGTGTGTCTGTAAGCCTGTGTGTGTGTGTGTGTGTGTGTGTGTGAGTGTATGCGCTCAATGCACTTTCCAGCACGCAATCCAATAAGATTCTCGGTTAAAATCCTTCTTCCCAGAAATCCTGGGATTAGCTTTTCCTGCTTTTCCATTGAGCCCCCCTCTCTCACAGGTGCCACTGTCCCTCCCCCTGGGCCATGACACCCCCCGAAGGAGACACTGAGTAACTGCGTGTGAGCTCATGGCTTCTCGCACGCGCTCATACGGGGGACAGGATGGCGCCACGGCGAGCAGCAAATTAAAGCTCCGCCCAGCAGCTCCAGAGAGTAACTCACAAGGACGAATCCTCAGCTGGCAGCTTGAAGAGCTCACAGATCCATCACATCTCAGACACGAAAAGGCAGGAACCTGATGTTAAACTGACACCATAAAATTAGCACAGCAGTATTGCTGCACACGCACAGTCACGCGCACACACACACACACACACACACACACACACACAGTAATGCTGTACACATGCTGTAATGCTGCACAAACACACACACAGTAATGCTGTATACACACACACACTGTTGTATCACAGGCATACATTTGTATATTCAACCTGAGATGAACAAAAATGTGGAAATTATGAACAGAACTGGCACCAGATGTGACTCAAAGGTTTCCTCTGATATCCAGTGCTCAGCAGTGCAATATGGGTACTGGGCCACTGTGGGGGGGGGTTGTACGTGGGGGTCAGACCCTCTGAGTCATGCTGGCACTGATGGTATTCCTGCTCCTCCATCTCATTGGCACGAGGCCACGAGCCCAGAACAGCAAGTGTATACAGGGGTCTCCGGGACAGCTGGGGAGCGGGGGGGGGNGGGGGGCACAGAGGCTCTGGCAGCGCTGCTTTCCTCTTTGGAGGACAGCACTGACATACCCCTAATCCCTACAGCGGCGTGTTAAACACCCCGAGCTCAGAGGCAGATAAAACCCTCAGCGTGTCGTTACGTCGCGATCGATTCGGGCCCAGGCTGAGCCGGTGAGGGCGGTGGGGGTGGCGCAGCGAGGCCCATGTACTGGGAACGTGTCCCCCGTCTCCATCAGATCCGCTCGCGGCCCAACAGGTGGCCACGCGGCCGTCTTACGGCCATCTTCCGGCAAATGGGACATCAGCGCGTCTCTCCGAAAACGCCAACCCTCGCTTCACGGGCGTGAGAGAGGCGTGAACGTGACATAACAGGGCCGCTCTGTCGAAAAGTTAACTCCGTATTCCGCCACCCGCCTCCGTCTCAGGGTTTCCATGGCGACCGCAGCCCACCCTCCGCTGCCAAAGTGTGGCAACTGCCCTCGGGAGGAGGTGCTGACCAGAGCCCCCGCTGCCCAGGACTGGCCGCACACCACAGACAGAGCAAAGGCAGGCGGGCGGCCATACTCACCCCAGATAAGGTCTTTATGTTATGCAGGGCGTTCTGAGCCTCCAGGGCAGCCTTCCTCGTGTAAAACGTCACGAAACAGCACCCTGGTCAGACAGAGAGACAGAGGGAGGGGTGAGGAGGTGAACGGGGCACTGAACACACATCGGGAGAGCTGACGGGGTGTGGATGGTGCTGCGAGATTGCCTACCGTCCCCGAAAAGGGGAGGTCAGAGGGCAGCCGTCACCCCCATCCAACAGCCGGAAGAGGACAGTGACGGACTGGAGACCAAGAATGGGCTGCGGATCCCTGCATGGCAGCATCACACGGGCAGGAGCCCGCAAAGCACGGGGGAGAACGTACGTGACATAAGTCTGTTTCAAAACGTTTGTAGCTTTAAAAAGGTCAATCAGGCTGATATTAGAATCAATCTGCTCTTCAGGACGTCAGGGACAGACACAGGGGACTGGAAAGATCCGGAAGAGAGCAGACCTGCCAAGCACTGCACATCCCTCACATGACGCGGTCAAAGCAGAAGCAGTGGCTTCACGCTCCAGTTCAGTCAGTTCGGACAGCAACAGTTTACACAGAACGCTCAGATAAGCCCAGAACACACAGGAAAGCTTTCGAGAGCTTCCCACCGACAGTCGATCGGGCAGTTATAGCTACAGCCTCATCCTGGGCCCAATTAAGCCTTGAGTGACCACGTCAAACAAGGCGAGGCCAACTATGGGCCCAGCAGAGACCACATCGCGGGCCAATCAAGGCCACGGCCAGGCAACGTGAGGACAAAGACCAAGCCAGACCCAGACCAGACCACACGAAGCGGAAAGCTACCACACAGAAGGCATCGTCAAACCCATCATGCCCTTAGAAAGAGCTAGAAAAAAAAATACATGCAGCTGTAAACAGAGGAGGAGGGAGAGGTGGCTCTGATAGGAGCAGGAAAGGAGAGAGCAAACAGCACCGACGCTCGAGTAGAGGAGGAGTGCGGCTCCGGTTGGGGGTAGGAGAGGAGGCCCTTTATGCGAACAGACCCACTGGGCAGCCCCTCATTTCCGGGGAGGGTGTGTATAAACACACAGCGCTGTCAACAAAACGACAGCATTTCCTAACCGGCAACGTCCCACAGCCACCTGCTGCTCTGACCGAGGTTCCCTGTGTGATGCACAGAGGACAAAAGGACAGAGAATACACCTGTAAGCGTGAATCGGCTCCAGCTGAACAAACATGACAGGCTGACGTGCGTCAAGCTGCATATCAGTATCCACACTGCACTTTCCAACACATCTTTGCAGAGGATCATCTCGGGATCTTCTGCCTGGTCCATGCACCCTGTTCCAGCCGCTCCCCTCAGATAACAGGCATTAAGCACATCAGAACTGCTGCCATACTCAAACGCCGTTGTTTTTTTTTGCAACGCATTTACAGTAACTCGTAAAAGATACTGAAAAAAAAACACAAATATGACTGACCCACCAACAAGAAAACAATCAGCATTTAATAGCTGGATTACAGGAAATAAACACAGGTATGGGTACGGGCGCAGACATGCTGCCCGGGCTGCCCTGTGTGAGAGGCTGTGACAATCAAATCAAGCGAGACCCCCTGTAGATAATCACCACAGCTCAAAAACAGCTGATGCACAACAGACTATCTAAAGCGTGCCTGGCAGACCCCTGAAGGTAACCGGCCAGCCAATAAGGAAGCCCCAGGAAGCACAGGCCCCCGACCTGGCCCCCTCACCTCCCGGCCAATCACAGACAGGCATTAGATGACTCTTCCCTTGGCCGTACTAAAAACACACTTGCCTATTTTCACATGCACACGCTGGCATTTTGAAAAGACCCCCAGGCCTACATATATACTGCATCACTGTATTATTAGTACTGCAGTGAAAAAGATCCACCAGCCCTACATATACACTGTGCCACTGTAATATTATTATTGCAGTGAAATGATCCGCCGGGCGGCCTACATATACACTGTATCCCAGTATAATTTATACTGCAGTGAAATGATCCGCCAGACACAGGCTGATACAGCGGCAGTACTGGCTCCGTGCTCATCACCCCCTGACCCGTTAGGGCATGAAAGTGCCACCTACAGGCCTGTCTCGGCACTGGCAGATTGACACTGGGTGGCTCGGTGACCTCCCTGACCCTGGGCCTCCAGGTGGAGTGGGGGGGAATTAATCCTGCAGCAGTGTGGCTCACAAGCACCGCTTTCTGTTTACCAGGAAGCCAGCAGATCAGCCTGGAAAAGCGAGCAAGGTTCAGCGGGTTAACTGCTAAATGCCGGCCTGACGGCACAGTGACACTGGGGCAGTGTGGCCCCGCACAGTGTTGCAGAAACGTTGAGGAAATGTTAGCTATGGACGAGACACCAGAAATAAAGCCAATACCTCAAGCAGGAGTGTCACATTTAAAGAGACCAACTAAGTAACTGGTTAATTCAACAAGAAGTTGGTTAGATGGGAGCTTCAGCGAATAACCTTGGGCCTGAAGGGTCATGCCGCCCAAGCTCTGGTACCTTTGCTCTGTGGCGGGTTCTGGCTCCGGTCTCGAAGGATGTTGATCTGGTAGACGGTGCCGTATGGCTCGAACAGCTCCTTCAGCTCCTTCTCCGACCAGGACCGCGGGATCTGGCCCACAAACATCTTGATGGCGTCGGGGTCAGGCTGGTCAGAGTGCTCCAGAGCTCCATTCATCTTGTTGGTGGTCCCGTTACTGACAGAGGGGAGACAAAAGGGGGCACTGTGTCATGTTCACACTACTTTCTGGTGGGTCGTCTCGCATGAAGGGTGTGTTCAGCTGTTCACACACACACATACACACACACCTGGGGTTTCCAGGAGCCCCATGGTGCTGTAACAAGATCGTTACATTTCCACTGACTCTTCCAGAACCTGCTGGGATTTCTGGGAGTAAGTCATGTGACATTTAAAGGCACGGCGACTGCTCGAATATCTTTGTGTTAACCAGACTTCTCTCACACACACACAAACAGGCCTCAAAGCCCGTTTCAGACATATGTAGTGCACATATACGCATAATGAGCATATAAGACCAAAAATATACTATAGCTCTGCAGTAAAGCAGCAGAATACCAGCACAGAGGAGGAGCCTTCATCACAGACACAGACACCAACGGCCTGATCGGTACCATTCAGCCGGACCACCAAGACGCAGAGCGTGTCCGGGCCTGTCCCTCCATCCGGGACAGCCTGGACATCAGCCTTAAGTTAAACACGCCTTTGCTAATTAATCTGATCTGAAGAGGAGAGAACAGGAGCTTTGTGACACCTCCCCGACATGCCGCAGAACCAGAGACCGAGTGTGCGAGAAACGGCAAGAGAGAAGGAGAGAGGGAACCAACCTCTGCACCCGGGTTAGCCACCGGCGGCACAGGGAGCCGAAGCGCTCAGCGGAAACGCCCATGTTCATCCTTAGCGACCTCAGGGACATGTCCCGCAGCGACGGCCGGGCGGCTCTCCTCACGCTCTGCTGGAGGGTCCTGCCCAGACCACGCCGCCAGCGCCACCGCGACAGCCGGTCCCAGTGCCAGCTCCCCGTTGGGGGAGGGACGGTGACATCCAGAGCGGTGCCAGCGGCGGACAGACACACATTGTTATACCGCTACTCCTCCCTGCACACACAATGGCTTGTGTGTGCGTAGGCCCCCCTGAGGGCCAAATGAGAACTGCACCCTGCCTAGCTGCTTAAGGCAGACTGAAGAACAGAAGCTCCGCTGCAGAAATCCTTCTCACCGACGCCACAATAAAGCCAGCTGTCAGACACACGGGAGACGGATCACACACTCAGTAAACATCCACACATCTAGGCGAGCAGCAAGACTGGTCTGAAACTCATTAACCTCAATCCCCATTACATACCTCAGGAGAAACCCCAATATTTACCTCGTGTTATTTTTAATAATTAAGATTAAACCCCATATCGTCCACCCAAGGTAACATCCTGAGGGATATCTCGGGCCCCGGGTTTGATTGACAGCTCCTTGACAGACAGAGGACCCTTCCCTTGGCCTAGTGTAAGCTGTTAGATGACTGCTTAATGACCGTGATCAGTAACGCTCCGTGAGCAGAATTAAATCATGGTCCAAACAAAGCCGAGGGAGGAAGCTTGCAAGGGAGCCGTCCTCCTCTACCAGGCTTTTTGAGGATCTCTCCACAGATGTCTTCCTGACCTCTTGGTCTCGAATGAGATCTGCTCATGGCCACCATTCTCTGGTCAGACCACTAGGGGCCTCTTAACGAGACTGTTGGCTTTTACCACATCCCAGAGCTCATAGCGACCTTCTCCATAACAAATAGCCTGGCTGCTGCTTAACTAGACGTCCAAGACTTTATGATGACATGGCACAGCACGTAAAAAGTGATTATAAATCCACCTGTAGATGCATTACCGCCTTTCAGGAGTGTAATCAGATTCAAGTGAAACCAGGATGGAGAGAAGAGACTTCACCGAGACCTTCCTCAGGAAATGAGCTCATGAGCCGGAATAGAAGGTATCAATGACTGCCATCTCCCTACTGCCCTACTGAGCCGTCTGTAAAGCCCATTACTGTTTGGCGGGGCACTCTGGCTTGGCACCGACTACTTTGGTGTTTGGGAACGTCAGGCTGTTGGTCCAAACCTACAGCGGAATTCCTCGCTCTCGGGCCAACGCTAGACAAAAGGTGTCGGCGGCGTTGGAGCGGCTGCTGACACACTACAGAGGGTACGGACTGGGAGGTCACCCTTGGGGACACACTAACAAGCCACTGCAGAAAGTATCAAAGGGTCACGGTGCTAACGAAGCCGTGGTGGACGAGATGCGAACCCGGCGACTAATGAGAGGAGCAGCTGGCAGTAAACCTCGGACAGGCATCCCCAAGGGGAGCACTAAAGCCAGCAGGTACGTCCAGCAAACATGAAGAGTCATCCCATGACCTGAGGGGAACCCAGATGGGCCGACGTCAAGATCTACTGACATGTGAAATCCTCCAGCCCCGGAGGCACTGGCCCACACCCTCCAAGGCGGGCTTGCTATTTTTGGGGCCCCGCTTAAAAAGTCACTTCAGGGCCCACCGCCCCCGCTGTAGTGCCAGTTTGTGGCCAAGAGGGGGCGCCCTCACCTTGGGCCGCCCTGGCTTTCCAGTCATGATTCCCCACGCTGTTCCCAGCTACCCATTCACAATATTTACATCACCTAATAATTAGGCTGAGAGACCCAACTGTCATGTATTTATACAGCTGCATGACCGGAGTGGCCTTTACACGTTATTGTCACGGGTCCGACGCCAAAGTCTGTCCACAGAACCTGGACTTGCAGCCCCTTGATCGTGTCCATGCCCTGATCGGCCACGCGACCCGCTGCCGCACCACAGGTATCCCACAGCTGAGCAACATACACACACCAGCGGGGCGGAGCAGATGTCTGCAGAGCTCAGCTCCCGTTCCTGGAGAGCTTCTCCTGGTGAAGGTCTCTGCACCTTGGCCACAATTCAGTCCTCGTGCCCACAAATGCTGAGAATATCAAAACGAGTGAAGCCCCCCCCAAAAACTAACAAGCAGATGGCATCTCCCACTGGGGAAGCAGGATCAGTGTTTTTTTTTTTGTTTTTCTTTGGGGGGGGACGACGACAACAACACAGTCCATTTCCCAAATTTAATTTGCATTTATGTCATCTTTCACAGATCGCTCAGAGAATGACGCCACATTGCGCAAGACAAGCTAAGTGGATGAGACAATACCCAGAATTCCCTGCAGCAAGGAGCCATAGGTGTCACATCTTAAGGGGTACTTCAGACTGCCAGCAAGTTGTAGCAGCCAGCCTCCCCCCCCCACCGCCCCCCGCTATCACTGGGGTCGCCGTTAGCACAGCTAACTAAACTCGCGTCTGAGAACCAGAATCCTACCACGCCATGGTACCTGGGCTACTCCATTAAGGACACCCACGAGACGCAGGTTCTTTGGTCATTAGCAGCATTAACAGTCTTACAGTTGCTCTTTATTGCTGCCGGGGGTCACCAAACAGTCTCCTCTTGAGATGCCGCACTGCTAATTGGAGAAGCATGGGCTCCGAATTAACGCTGAGAAGCCCCCGAGGTCCCCTTTCTTTCCGTCCAACGTCAGCGAGCCGCAGACAGCATGAAAGACGGCAACAAGGGGGAACGCTTGGCATTCAGAGCCTCCCCAGCTGTTGTGGAGGAGCAACACACTCAGCGCGGTGTCAAGTCATCAACGGGACTCTCAACCTCCAAGTGCATCCGTGTAACTGCTGCCAAGAGCTGATCGTACTGGGGATGGCCTGGGGCAGGAGGGGGGGGGGACATATACTACATACTACTGTGCTTCTGTGGGGGGGCAGACCAGAACAATACAGCACTGGGAACATTATCCCATAACTGAGAGGGGCCTAATTATCGCTGCATCCATTGGCGGTTTGGGAGGGAGCAGATATTTGACGGCCGGAGGTGGGAGAACATGGCATTCCTCAGCCGCGACGAGAGGAGGGCTGGCAGACGGCACTTTGCACGTACAGAGCGGGCACCATATCGTCCCACGAGGCCCATAATTACGGCAAGCCGGGGGCGTGGCAACACATACATGTGCACATACCCTTGTATCTGTGCATACAGCTACACATACATGTTTAAAAATGAGAGGGGCATCTTAGGCGGGGAAGAAATGCATACAAAGGTGGCATCAACACTGCTTGTGATGCTGAATTAACCCCAGTGCTCAGCGTTCTTGAGGTTTTGCTCGTTGTCCGTCCTTCCCGATCTTACAGAATGTACAGGGAGTGGGGAAAAAAAACATTAACAATATATTAATAAAGGACATTATAAGCAGCAGGGTCATTCTAGAACTTCAGAACCGCTTCACTGTCATGCAAGTCCTGAACTGTGTGTAGCGGGATATCAGATCATTCTTCACGAAGAAAAGGCTCTAGTTTGTAGGATGGAGATGGAAATCTGTGTCACACTCTGCATTCTGTTGATTTGTAGGTGATTACGGAGGCCATGGAAGACCCCTTACATCATCTTGCAGTTCATGAAACCACTGGTGAATGTCTTTGGTGGCAGGTATGGGGGTGTTGTCATCTTGGAATATTTGAAGATCCAGTGGTAACAGTGTTTGCATCATACACTGTGAAGTGACCTTGTCTGTTACATGATCTTGTTTGTTGTGCAAAAGCAATGACCTACTGACTGCCACAAGATGGCTGCCGCTCGTAACAGACATAATGGGTTCAAGGTGTCCTTTGGCCGTCTCCTAACGTAAATCTGCCCGGATGCAAAAAGAGGGTGAAAGATGAGTCATCGGACCGCAACACATCCCTCCCTTTGCTCAAGGGTCCAGGTTTCATGCTCTTTCCACCAGTTTATGCATCTCTGTATACTGACGCTGGATACAAGCGGTTTCTGAACAGCAGCCCTGCTGTAAATTCCAGTTTTGTGACGCTCATGTAGTTTTTGTTGGTCTAGAGGGTTTTTTGAGGATGTGATTTAGTGGTGCTTAATAACTATCCTGTTATATACCCCGTCTTTGCCTATTCGTGCGCTTCACCTTGCTACCACCGTTGCTCTTTGCCAGTGACGTTTGTCCATGTTTGACATATGCTGTGATGAATTAATGAGATTTCCCCCCCTTGACAAACTAAGTAATTTTGCACGTTTTTGCGACCAATGAACCCACAATTTGGGGACAGGCCATTTAGCCTC